CTAAACAAAAAAGCACAAAGATTGAGAGGTAGTCCAGAGGCCGTTTCTCGAGATGGTCCCAAACATGCAAATCGCAAAGCCAATGTGAGCATATTTCTCGAGACAATCCCAAAACAAGCAAACATACAAAAACACATAAGCCAATAATTGAGCATCTCTTTCGAGACAGTCCCAAAAAACTTAAAACACCAAAGACTTCCAGACTTTCCAAAGGTCATCTCTCCAGACAGTCCCAAAAATTGCAACAATAGCAATGGAATAGCTTGGAGAGTGGCTTTTTTGGCTTATGGACTGCCTCGAGGAATAAGGTCATGTTTGGTTTATAGGTTTTCGTACTTTTTGTTTTATTTGGGATTGAACCCCTTGCGAAATGTGGTGGTTCTTCCTATTAAACTGATTGCGCGCGCCTTCGTTCAGTGGCTTCTGCAGCAGGCGCAGATGGATGTCTGTCGCCAGCTAAATTCATGTATGCATGTACATGTACATAGATACAGTACGAGATAGGCGTGCAGACCAGGACTCTACCGACATACTAGACATACGCAGACACAAGGTGTGGATTCTCGGCGGGAGCGTACACTATTCATACATATATCTATATATACAAGTACTTGTATATGTATGTATATGTACGTGTATGGCTCGCTCTGAGCGAGAGTCACAAGCGACACCTCGTCATCCAAGTCCATGCGGTAGCTGTGAATCTTGGCCTGGCGATGCCGCAGCCGTAGCAAAAGCGCCTCTCTGCTGGGGTGCTCTCCGCCTGGCGCCTGCGTCGCCGCTGCCTTTCCAGCAAACCTGAGTTGCACGTTACACTACGCTTCACTCCAGATTGCGATGAGATCTCAGTGCCCGGCTTGATGAAGGATTGACAGCTGCTTGGACTTGAGCTTCCTAGGTCGATGGTCTTTCCGACATTCGCGACACAAGCTTCTCTGAGCGGAATGCGGAGTTCGAAGCATCTTGGTTGTCCTCCTTATCGTTCGCCTTGCCAGCATCTTCTAGAGATCTGAACGACAGGGCACTGTGCATCCTTTCCAGTCAACCTTTGAGCGCCTGACAAGTTTGTCTGGAGCAAATGCCTGCGTGCACAAGCACAGGCCTGTTATTAGTGAAAGAGGATCGCTGATGGGCGGCCTCGGCCTCCGCAACCTCTTCACTGGAGCTTTGTGCAGATTTGACCTCGGTGTAGACTGAACTTGTTATCAGAAACTGAGCAACGCGCCTGCTAGTTCAAGGCAAAGCCTTGATACTTCACCTTCATCACTTCGCAGTTTTAAGGCTGTTGCCAGCTTTTCAGGCGTCTGTGCACCATCCTGGCTTCTTCTCTTGCAGACTACTACCAGCCGGTGAATCCTTCGGGGTCGGTTCCTGTGCCCTGCGCCACGAAGGCGGTGTACAGACGAGGTCCTGCGCTACGAAACGAGGAGTTGCAGAGAGTGGCATCAGCTGATGACGAGGGTGACGCGTGTGTCGCCTCCTCTGGGTCTGGTCATTGCAATCCCGTCTGCCTAAATCTACTCGCTCACTGGTTCTGCTCCCGATCTTTTTGGTGAAGAGTTGTTGAAGCATGAAACATGCAAGCTGCGCATTGAAAGACGCCTACAGGAACTTGTGGCTCCAATACGTTCCGGTTTCTGCAATTAGGTCAGACTCATCAACATACTCAGGACACCTCCGCCATAAAAACGGGCAAGTCTTTCGACCCCTCCCCATTCACACGCCCTACTATTGCTGCCCCATCTGGGTCAGCCTGGATCTCCTCGCGATGAGCATGTAGCTCCTGACAGCTCAGCCACCCACATTCTGAATTGCAGCACAGCGCAAAACAACCACCTTCAGGAGCATGTTGCGCATATCATGCGCAAGCTCGCTCCGGAATCGCTGAAATGCCTGGCAGCGTCTGCAGTCTCTTTCTGGACGAAGCGTTGACTCAAACAAGGGACCGGAGGACACCACATGTGATTTTTTGTTTGGCCTACCCGCGTTGGAAGCGCGGTGCTGTGTGCTCGGCCGATGTGATTCGGATCGTTTGCGAGCATGTGCGCTGCGTGTGCGCGCGTGCAAACATTGACTACTGGTGACTTCGGTCCATGTTTTTTTATGAGAGAACGTACAGCGAGGCCCGTGATTGAACACAGTCACTCAGTCACTCAGCTTCACAAGCCAGGACCCCGTCACTCAGTCACTCAGACTCTCAGGCCGCAGAGACCAGACCCAGTCACTCAGTCATTCAAACTGTCATGCCTTGGAAACCAGACCGTCGCTCCGTCACTTAGACTGTCGTCTTCCGGGGCCCGACCCAGTCACTCAGTCACTTAGAGGTTTCTGAAATTGGATTATCTAAGCAGTCTGAGTGTCTGAATGTCTGAGTGTCTGAGCCTCGCGGTGGCTCAGTGTTGGAAACTGAGCGCCTGAGTGTCTAAATGTCTGAGCGTCTTGTGGCTTAAATGGTGAGCTTAAACCATAAAAAAAAACTCTCCCCGAAGCTTCGTGCAGCCTGGCCAGACCCCTATACAGACCCGTTTCAAGGTGTGATTAGTTGTGCACGTGATGCGTGCCTCCTGCGCAACGCTTGTCTTCATGATGCCTTGTGTCTACCGCTTATGCATTTGACGTGTTTGTGACGTGTGCCTTGTGTGTAACGCGTGAAGCGTCTGTGGTGTATGGTGTTGGCGCTGTCGGTGTATTCATTTGTCTGGGCGGGGCGCGGGCGGGCAGGCAAGCACGCCCGGCAAAACAAGAACTCCGCATGCTGCTTTGATGCGGGGAAAACAACAACATCAACATGGCTCTGTCAAAGAACCTGCTCGAGTAGCTCGCTCACGTCTTTCCACGAGCAGGCTGCTGGCTCGGCCTCACGCCGGAAGTGGCATGCTCAGCACGTGTCTATAGTACTATGACATGCAGCACGTGCTGTAAACCTTGTCTGTAGAGGCCTCAGCCATTGCAACCTGCGCAGAGAAAATGTCTACAATGCCTACAAACTCCTGAAAAGGAAGGCCAAGTTGTGCCTCAGAGGGCCAGAAGGCTTGCCACATCCCTACGCGCTTCCAAATCACACGCTAAAACGTGGGATCTTCCAGCTTGAGATTGATATCTGCGAAGAGGGGGGAATGAAAAGCTTGCAGCAGTTGGTTTTCGCAACGTAACAATGGTTTAGGAGCTCAAATCTTCATGTCACGTCATTCCAACTAGGATATCCCAAACGTGCATGACTGCTTCAAGCGGCCAGTAGGCGTGCGTCTGGATCCTTCTGCGTTTGCTTTGCTCAGTTGGTGATCTTTTTGTCGGGGATCAATGCTGGCACCCTCGTAGTTGAAGTGGCTCAGCAAAGCTGCTTTGATTCCTACTGTCCGACGCAGAGAAGGAAGCCAAGTTTTCTCAGCCGGCGTTGGCTGACAAATCCAGACAAAACAACAGCCGCACCTAAATGTTGATTTCGTCCATGCAGCACCTTGCCTTGACATCTCCTTACTGCTTGCCCACTAATGAATCCACCAAGTTGTACAGTTGTGGAGAGGAAGGGCTTTGACATGTTACGTGCTATGGGAACCCCATCTGTGCCAAAGACCGATCACGTTCTCTCGCCGTGCCAACCAGAGCGTCTTGCGCAGCAAGGGCACGCTATGCATCCGGCAAGCGCCCGGGGACGCTCACAACAATGCCATCATACGCTCAGCCCCCTCAGGACGCTGGCCCTCCAGCGCTCGAAATCTCAACACACGCGCTGGAGTTGGGTTGGTAGCGCTCCCGCCGAGACTGCGCTCCCAAACTCCAAGTTTTCGCCAGTTCTCGGAACGGCTCCACGGGCGAGTGCATGCGTGCAAGCTTCATCTGCATAGGGCTGTTGCCTCACGTAGCAGACTATCTAGGCTGCTGATTACAAGGCTCAGCGAAAGTCCCTTAGATCTTGCCTGCCAATGTTTACTTTGCGCCACCTCCAAAATCATACCTTAGCCTCATTCACCATTTGAAGGACAGCTTCGCATGACCAATGCGGCCGGTCTAGCGGCCGGCAACTCGGAACTTGGAACTTTGCTTGGCCAATGGTCAATCGGTATCGCTATCGCGGCGCATGTGCAGCGAAGCAAGGCATCTTCAATATGTTGAAGCTCTACTACTCACAGACTCACAGCCAAAAGTCTTCCGCATGAAGCAACCTTGTTGCTACTAGTCCACAACTCCACTTTTTCACATGGGATGCTTGCGCGGCGAGTTGCACGTGTCTCCTGTACATGCTTGAGGCAAACGTGTCCCAACTCGGATGAAGGAAGTTGTCCATTCGCTGTCGCCTCTGAATGACAGAAACAAGCAGGCCACTGTTGCTCACGTCCCTAACAGACAGAGACGCCCTTAGCCAAGGAGCGCAATCGTGGTGTCGCTTCACGCGCTACATGACCCGACCTGCAGCTGACAACAATAGTTGGGTGCAGTCTCAAGCCTCGAAGCCCGCACAGTGTGTAAACTTGTTACCTTGCGTTGAGCTTCCATGAGGCAACTCTTCTGCAAGCCCTCTTGCATATGGATCTGCATGCGGATTGGCACGTAGTTTTAAACTGCGGCGCCGAGAGCCTTTCCTGTAATGATGCCATCCTCACACTGATGAATCCCAGCGCAGTTGCGCAAACCTACCTACATCATGCAAGCCTGCAATCCAAATCTGCTTCGGCCAAAGAATTTGGAACCGAAATCTTGGTCAGCTCTGCCGTGCTGGTGGCTGCTTGTGATGCCAGGAGCTCCACATTACGGAGGCTCCGGCAGAAATGCATTCGCTGTTTTGCAAAGAGTGAACCTGAATACATGATACCTCCAGGCAGCATGCAGCAGTTTCGTAGCCGTCGAAAGCAGTCAAAATGCGATCTGAACCAGAAGTTCATTAGCATGAAGAAGTTGCGCGATGGCCAAGAGAAGAGTTTCAAATCACAAGCGCGCAGCAACAACTTGAACCTGCAGTTCTGAAAGCAACCCACAAGCAGAGCGCCACCCGAGTGCGAGACATCTTTCTGAACGCGCCCGACTCGGCGTCCCGTCTGGCACATAGTTGTTCCACACATCTTCGAAGAAGCCGATTTCCTAGGCTGAAAAATCTGCAGAGTGACTGCGCAGTTGACTAGCTTCTGAATCATAGCAACTGCAGTGTCTGCGGAAGGGCTGCGCATGTAGAGGATACTGAACCCCTCCTCTGCTGGTACTCTAAACCCAATGAACTCGTTGCATCCATGCCTGCAAAGGCCCCGCAACCCAGCTGACTCAGGCAAGCCCCTGCGCTGAATGCTAGCCTGGATGCTGGAAACCCAGTCCGCCCAGCGGATATGATCCGAGCCTGTGCAATGAAAAGCAGTTCTAGTGAAACGAGCTGCTGATCATCTAACCGGTGCCAAGCCGTAAAGAAAATCATCAGGATAACAAGAAGGAACAACTGCTTCTCAGGCTGCCCACGCGGATTAAGTCCTCTGTGCTGTCTGCACTGGCTGAGCTCGTAGCTGTCTGCAAGGACACTGCCGTCCCCAGCTGGCGGAGGGCGCTCATGGCCTCCGAAATTGCCTTATGAAACGAGCGCTAGCCCTTTAAGCATCTTCCCGTCTAACGTGCCAAGAGACTATGGCTTGTGGCAGAAGTTGCCTGTTCAAACAAGGCAAGAAGCAAGCAAAGCCTTCTCTCAATTGTGAGCACTCAGCTGCTAGCATACCAGCAAAATCTCTGCCCCTGAGCTTGCTCACAAGCACAATTCTAACCTTGCCAGCTTCATGTAACCAAAGTACACTATCCCCCAAAGTTCTCCGGCCGCGTGGCTCCAGCACAGGCTAAGCTGCACACCCAAGAGAAGGTACAGCAAGTGCACATCGTCATAAAGCTGCTTTCACAGAACGTGGCAGAAAGTGGTTGTGCCAAAGGATGGCTAAAAAAAGAGTCCAGGTGAGCCAATGCCACTGAACAACCCCTTGCAGAGAAGACAAAGATTAAAACACAAGAACAACATTGCAAAATGTGAAGTGTTGTTCTCGGTTCGATTCACTCCGCAGAATTGCGAAATCCTAGCCTCGAAGCAAAAGCCCCACTGTACTAAATTGAGGAACGCAGATGCAAAAGCCATGCTCTGTGTACTTTCAGATCGAGCACAAGTTGCTAGTTTCAAGAGAAACCTGTTCACATTGGTTTTCTTGTCGGAACACTATGGCAACCTGTTCGGCGTGCTGCCGTCATGCAGGCCCCAGCTCAAATCAGCGACGATCCGTATTCGCCTGGATTCAGCCCGAGAGGCGTCAGAGATCCCCACAAATTGAGGGGGAACTTGAATAGGAGGGGTAAGTTGTACAGTAGTGCATTCCCAGCTGGCCCCCAAACCGGCGGAGACATTGCGTAGCTGGCAGCTGGCATGAACACCGAGACCAACTCGACTTCTCTGCCAAACGCATCCAAACGCCTCTGCACCCCTGGGTCTTGAATTCTGGACCTGGATTCTTATCCCACCGTTCCTGCGTTCACCTTGTGGGAGCTTCAGGTTCCCCATATCCCCTTGGTTTGCTGTAACTTGTTGCCTCTTTGCTCGTTGCGTGGGAGTCCAGACTTCAGACTCCAGTGGTCCAGAGCCTGGACTGTGGCCTGGGGCAGAACCCCAAAATGCACCCGGCTCGGCGCTTTTGAGCGTTTCCCTTGTCAGTCTCCCGTACAAGTATTCTTGATCCCATCTTTCCGGGGAAGTTGCCTCGCTCGGCTTGACTGTCAGATATCTTCAGAGGTTCCCACAAGGCCCTTGTTGCACACCTCCTTTCGCTGACACGACACAGTGCATCAAACTCCTTCCCCCAACCACCTTCCCTCACAGATCAGCCTTACTGTTCTGTGGCCAAGGCAGTCGGCACGTGTCGGCACAAAGCTTTACGAATTAGGTCCTTCCACATGGCACGAGAAGGGTAAACTGTCAAGAGCGCGCCTTAAGTCAAGCAGTCGGATAACGTCCCGAGGTTGTTTCGGCAACTTGGGAACGCTCGCAGACGCTGCCTCAGAGCAGCGTTTCTATGGCGACGCTTCGACAAAGCAGGGGCATGTATCCAAGCTGCAGGATCCCCCGCAGGGAAGCCAGCCAGAACAGCCTGCGACTCCAACACCGTCAGGCCCAAAGCGGACTCCAGAGCTCCCACCTGAAGCTCAGACAAGTGACAAAGTGCTGCTAGCAGTCAGTATTTCCAGTGAAATCAGAGACCCGGAATAAAGTCGCAACCAGGCTGCGATGCCCTCTAATTCTGGAACCCAGGTTTGAAGGCGGCTGCGCCGCCAGCTTTCCGCTGGCCAGTGGTACTTCAGGACATAGCAGTTTTGCAGACATCTCCGGGCCTCCCACGGCGGATCGCTCATGTCAGCCCCCCCAATTATTCAGCAACTCAAATGGAAAGCCTGGATACAAGCAAGCAGGCCCTCCCAGGCTGCCTGCCCTTAGATCACTGGAATATGCTCCCATCAGAACACATGGCAACCTATTTCTACCGAGTTGGTAGTATACTACAATGCGACTGTTGGAATGTGAAGCAAGTCGCGGCAACCACGTGACTCGCGTGACACGGCGGACACGAAGGAGTCCTAAAATCGGGGCAGTGCAACCGGTGCTTCCAGGCTCATGGAATAAACGTTGCAAAAACTTTGGCAAGAGACTGGAAGAATGTATATAACCTTATATATACATATATAGCAGCTTCCATGTCATTTTCCATTTTCTTTTCTATTTGATTCTTCATTCTTGGGGTATACGGGAAGAATTTGCCGGAAGCTGCTGCGCAATTCTGCCCTTTAGGACCCCTTGTTGGGCAGTAGGCCATGCGTTGCTTAGGTCTACCACGGCGCCTCCACACCAAGCAGGCCCTCAGGCCAAAAGCTCCTATCCAGCCTAGGGTCGGTATCATTTGTAGCGCGAGGCTCCTGAATACTGATGCCCAGGTCGAACTCCTCATAGGTCAACAGATCAAAGTTGGTTTGGGCAGGCTGGCTGCTGGCCTCTGCTAAGACCAGAAGTGCTCGGAAAAGAAGTTTCCTTGCTTTGAAGCACAAGAAGCACAATAGAATGCCATATGCATCTGGAGACAAGTCAGTAACCAGTCTTGTTAGTTGAGCTCCAGAATCATCCTTTCTGGCTGACGCTCATTGGCAGTCCAGCCTCCGACTCAACGCTCACAGCTTGGGGTTGAAACGCAGCTTCAAACACAAGCAGGCTTGCCTAGGGCAAAGCGGCCAGAAGAAGGAGGACAGCAAAGAACCACCCAAAAGAAACAATAACATATCTAAAGCACACATCTTGCTGTAGAAGCTGTAAGGAGGGCACGAAAGCCAGTGCAGCGCACTGAAAGCAGAGAGAACCTTCAACCTTCATCCTAGCATATCATATCCCAACACAGGAACAATGACTCACCACGAAAACAGTAGCAGACAAGAAGAATCCTCTTGCTGGAACCCTAAACTAGATCCTATACTCTATACTAGGCCCTATACCCTGTATATAAAACAATGTAGTAAGTAAAATAGCTTATACTATATTGTTCTAAATATAGTATACTAAGATATAGATAGATATAATATGAGCCCTGGACTAAATTTGTAGTATATCCCTTAATGGGCCCCCCCAAAACGCTATGTAGTCCCCTGTAGGTCCCCCCAAACAAAGTTTAGTCCGTAGCTCATATAGTCTAGTACATGAATATGTAGCCCGTTACTTCCTACTAACCACCTTCTAGCACTTGTTCCCTGCTCAGGCCTGGCAAGCACTCCCTTTGCAGCTTCCACCTGGACATTGCTTTGCGCCATATAAGCTAAACTCCTAGGGGATTATATAATATAGGGTTTAGGGTCTAGAGTCTAAAATCCTTAAAGAGGTTATATAGGGAATTACATGGGTAGTATAGGTACGATATAGGGGTTACTAACGGGGATGCTGGGACATTCAAGCCCTGTACAGCTTGCAAAGCTTTGTCACATTAAGGGATTCCCCAAAACTAGGGGTACCTCTTATCGGGGTCCCAGTGAAAAGGATTGTAGTATTTTGGGGTCTATGTTGGGGTCCCCTCATTTTGGGAAACTAACATTTCAAGCTTTGAACATTCCCCAAACTCACCGAGGAACAATTTTGCATCCTGTGCTGAAGCTCCAGCTGTCGGAGCTTGTGAACCGGCTTGTTGCTCAAATCCGTCCTAAGTACGCACGCACGAGAAGTTGACGGGATGAAGACATCCGTAGCTCCGCATCATGCCAGAATGAAGAATGTGGAATGTAGCCTGTAGCCCGGCTAGCTAAGACACTGATACAGGAAGCCGGCACTGGTAGTAGTCGAATCCTGCGGAATCACTAGGGATAACTGAGATTTCTATGCATGTGCATCTGCATCTACATACATTTTTTTGTATATGTCACTGTCTATGTATACATCCAGAGCTGGGAACCTCCAGGCTGCCCCCTGTGTGGTGCCCAATCTTGTCCACAAATGTAACCTCAGATTCTGCATGTCCAACAAAGAGCTGCTATGCAACCAACCAGCAAGGAGCAAAAGTGCCGTCCGCAAACGCTGCAGATCCTCAGTTGTTCTTGAAACTCTTCCCCTAAGACGCCTCATGAAGGGGCGATGTGCAATGCAAAGAAGTCTTCTCATGCATCCATGTCATATCTTCTGGAGCCCTGCTTCTTGTGAGATTGATGTTGGCAAAGCTCATTGCTAGAATCTGAAAACGAACCATTACACGGGTCGCAGCCAAAATGCATGTGGTTGCAACCTCCGTTTCTCTGGATGTTGGCACCACACGAGCACGTCTTGGAGTTCTGGCTTAGCCACTTGTTTGTTTCCTTGGCACGCTGCTCACCAGGTGTTTTTTGGAAGCAGTCAAAGTGGCTCTCTATGCGCATCTGAGGTGCATCTTCCATGTTCTTTCGAACCTTCGCCAAATCACTTAAAAAGTCTTGCCACGGTTGACAGGGCACCTCAGCTGTTGCCACACTCCCGAAAAGCCTGAGATGGGATTTAAGGCTCCGGCTGGCTCGTGCCCACCTAAGGCCTTGCAATTAAAGCAGAATTGTGCGCCGCATGCGCAGACTGCAGTAGCAGACCTCAGCTGCAGCTGGCTTCGGAAGATGATATGACAGCTGCTTCGTCAGGAGTATGGTGAGGATTCTTTTTCATACCTGTCATAGCCTTCCGCTGCCCTTGACAGAAGATGTTCCATAACGTGTCAGTTGCTGCAGATCCTTTGCTTTCTTCATTTGAAAGAAGCCTGCTTCTCGCGGAGGAAGATGGATCGTTTCTTTCTTTGGGGTGACTTCTTTTACTGTTGTTCTGGCTGTGGCTTCTTTAAACTCCACCTGGGCGGCGTGGATCTGGCCTGGCTACAATTAAATTGTACAACCCGAATCGGAAATGACATGCAAATGCAAACAAAAAGCAGCACCCTGCCGCTTTGGATGTCCTTCCAGGGGGCAATCCGTTGAAGCCCAAGCTGAGACATGCCCGACCAACTTCTGGCACTCACACAGCGCTAAGTTAGCCACCCCTTGACTTCTTCAGACCCTGCCTGTCTGGGCAGTGACACAGCTCGGCCACAGCCGGGAGCAGGGCACCAAGCCTCAAGGTGCCAAAAGTTCCAGCATTGCTGGCCCTTCAAGAGTCTGAAGGCTTGGAGTCATCCAGAACTATGTTGAACTCGGGCTTGAAGTGTAGAGCTGGTAAGTCTGGGCTCCTTGCCATGTTCTTGTTCATGTCCACCTAAGAGGCCAGCAGCCAAAAACGCATGCAGCATTGGTCTGCCAGGAGCATGCAGCAAGCGTCCCAATATGGATGTGATTCCATTTGCTGGCATGATGCAAACTTCAAGGTCTTGAGCTGCTCCAGGCGCGTCTGCTCCTCGGAGTGGCAATTGCCATGTAGGCTTCCCTCTCTGAGCTGGTGGACCACCAAATGATAAACTCAGCTGTCTTTCCGATTTAAGTGGGCGCTGAGGTACCTGACTGCCAGATCCGAATAGCTCGCGGAAGATCTCTTCCGAAATCGGTACACGGCAGTTTGGCTCGGGGCAGACAACGCCCGTCACGTCACCCTCATCTAATCGGACCTGCTTAGCAGGGTTATATATAGGGGTTATATAGGGATAATGGAAAATAAAATGGAAACTACTATAATGGGGTTATATAGGGTATTCTATAGGGGGTTATATAAGCTGTAGCAACAGTCGCTTCTGAGCACAGTTTGGCTCACGAGCGCCTTGACGTGCATGCCCAGGCAGTTGTTGCAGGTGCGATGCTTGCACAGCAGCAACTTGCAAGCAGACTGGGCCGGGTCGACTTCGTCAAAGCAAACAATACCTGCGTCAAGAATCTCCCAGACACCACTGCAGCATACTGCGGCAACCAGACCCAAAAACAAGAAGGTTCACACAACAATCGCCAACATATTCGTATGAGATTTCACAAGCTGGCGGATCAGACAGCCACCAAGCGACACACAGCTGGAGCCGTTCCGTCTAGATCTCTGGACGGCCAATGCCTCTCGCTGATTGAAAGAGCTCCCATAGACAATCCATGTACCCCAGGATGCATATTAAAGAAAAGATGTGCTTTAGCGACGAAAGGCGTATCGTCAATACCGTCGGCAGGATGGAAGACAAGGCTGCGCAGCCTCAGAGTATGCAATGTGACAGAGAGCAGTCTTCAAAAGGGTGCTTCTCACGCGTCAGGTTGCCTTTTTTTCGAAAAGCAGTTTCCCGAAAGTGCATGCAAAACTAGGCTGAAAAGACAGCTGTATGATCCAGGGCGGCCTCCATGGTCTAGTTTTGGCAAAAGGTCACGCAGTTGCCAGTATTCTTAATAATTGATTCTCACCATGGAGCATCAAGACCTGCTGTTGCTGAGGTCATCAGATTCTTTCCCCCCGCCAGAGTGGTGGGCTTCCACAAAAATCAGTTTATTCATCCCTCCTCCGGTCGTTCGGGGGGGCATGGTAGGTGTTCTTTCTCCTAAAGCTGTCAGAGTTCTTTCTGGGTGGAAATGCTCAGACCTTCTCCTTCACTGTGTGATGTGGGTGCTTGCCTTACTTCAATAACTGTGGGCTTTTTGTTTTGTTCATTCATTCAGTCATTCATTCAGATTCAGATGCAGATCACTGCCCTTCCCACTTTGGTGCGGGTGGCTTTCCTCATCCCTCTGTCGCGTGGATTTTGAGATCTGCAACAAAAGCAATGACCGTTACGAGAATGGTGACCACGACACCCACCATCCTTGTCAATGTTGGCACTTCTGTACATTTATGAGAATGGCTCATCTGAGGCCTCAAAAACCAGGACAGTTATGAGGATCGTGAGCTGGACACCCGCCATCCTTGTGACTGTTCGCACTTTTTTTGAGAGGCCCGGCTAGGGGTAGAGGATCATGCTAGGGGGGAGAGGGGTGGGTGGTGCTGGGTAGGTGCCGAGGGCACCGCCTGGATCATATATACCCTCGCAAATACCTCCTTCCTCAACGCGACCACTACCATGACAGTACTCTTGGCAGATGCCCAGAAATCCCCAAGGCCAGGTGACCCAGCTGCATCTAAGGCATCTCGGGGAGATCTCCGAAATGCGGTCGCCGCTGCCTGGGCAGAACTTTGCATGGATCCATGCCGACATTTTTTTCCGGGGAAACACAGCATCCTGTTGTTTGGAGGCGGGTACGTGAGAAGCCGAACCCGTATTTGTCAAATGTGCCCAGCCTGGACGTCGAACATGTGACTTTGCAAGAGGGCTTCAGCTGCATCGTGAGGCAGCAGCTGGGGTGACGATTTTCCCCAGTCAGAAACGACCAAGCCTGATCTCTGTGTTGTCACGAAGCCAAAAATTACAAGCATGGCAGACCGAGGTGCCGCAAGAGTTCTGCAGCTCACGAATCCTTAGGCCACTAAGTCCACTGCGGCACTGGAGGAATGATGATCGCTGCTTCTGTTGACACTATTGGCAGAATAGAGGGGCACACGTGAAGTGCTGCGGCTGCGTTGAAAAAACAAGCAGGCAACTTGCTGCTGAGCATCTGCTGCTCCAATGCAGATAGCAGCTGTCCTTCCTCATGGACCACATGCCGTGCAGGGAGCACCCCGACCAATGACCTGATCTCAAGCAGTCGTGTTCGTCGTGTTGCAGCCGCAGGAGGAGGAGGAGGAGGAGTGGCTTGTCATGGTGATGGTGTTGGTCTTGGTGGTGTTGGTGTTGGATGGTGTTGTCGGTGTTGCTGGTGGTGCTGCTGGTGCTGCTGGTGCTGGTGGCGGCAGCAGCGGCGGAGTGCTGGTACTGGTACTGTTGATGCTGGGGCCGGGTACGAGGTGGTGGTGCGGGTGCGGGGTGCGGGGTGCGGGTGCGGGGTGCAGGTGTGGTGGTACGGGCGCGGTGGTAGTGGTGCGGGCGGGAGTTCGGGCGGGCAAGTGGTGCGGGCAGCGGTGGTGTGGGCGTTGGCGGCAGGGGCGATGATGATGGTGGCGGTGGTGGTGCCCGTGGCGGCGGTGGCAGTGGCGGTGGCGGTGACGGTGGTCGTTGCGTTTTAAGTTCATCTTGCCTGCAAGGGTTTTGTGCACTGGCAGCAGCAGCAGCAGCAGCAGCAGCAGCAGCAGCACCAGCACCAGCACCAGCACCAGCACCACCAAATCCCTTACAACTACTACTGCTTGCTCATAGTCATGGCAATGACATTAACCGTAACTAGCTACTGCACGACGACGAGGGCAATGACATGCAAGGACAATGGTCTTCTGAATTGAAAGCCGCATTGAGAGGCTGTGTCCGTGTAGTGATGGCTTTAATCCATGAAGTCATCACAAAGCCGGGGCACCCATCAGGGTTCATTCGGCCTAACGCGCCAGACAGGCACTCCCGCAAAGCTTGCCGCTGCTGTGGCAGTTTCCTTGTGCAGCCAGCTCTTGCACAAGGCGACTCCAAATGCGGCAAGGACTGAATAAGGAGTGCCGAGCTTGTGAAGATAAGCCCTCAGAGTCTCGCAGGCAAGCTTCAATAAACCCTGCCAGTGGCCATGGTCACCTGCAAGCAGCCTTGCACAAGTGATGTGGCCGTACCTCAGAGCGACCTCGGCAAGCCAAAGTCAAGTCGCGGGGGCTGCAAGAGGAACGCAACACGTCAGAACACATTCACCTGCAGGCACCTACCTCGCAAGGTGAATCACCGCTTGCGTCCTCTGCCACGAGAAGCCCGCCGGAGAGGCCCTGCATTGGCACAGCCGTCGCAGCTAGACTCAGTCTCGGGGCCGGTCATGGACGCCTCCTCCGTGTACGCAGCTGCTCCTATCGTTGCCACTTCGTGGCCCAGCAGCACCAGCAGCTCCTGACTCAGTCGTGTCAAGCGTCAGGCCTTGGTCCATTATCCTCTGCCTTTAGTCCACCTGTCCTGGGCGACAGCACAGGATCCTGAAGCCGCAGCGCAGTGCAGTGGTGTCTGCGCGGCTGCGTTGACCACCTGAAGCCTCAAGAACCAGAGAAGATTAAGGACATCGCAAGATCCGAGCCCAGGCCTGCGATGTCCTGTGATTGACTCTCATTTTTTCTTTGCCGAGGAACTGCCCAAGTGGCAGCCGACCGCTGGTCGCCAGTTCATGGAGCAGCCGTGCGCGACGCTCGTCTGTCAGCTCCTGATTGATGTAATTGGGATGCTCGCTGAATGAGTTGGCCAGCTGTTGCTCACTTGGAGATAAGGCTGCTGAGGGCGGGTCTGGCAGCTTCCAAAGGCGCTGGTCTCGATGAGTCCAGGACAAGCAGCGCTGCGCCGCCTCTGCTGCTGCAGCTGCTGCGCGCCCTGCAGAATTTGGCACTGGAAGGGTACGTGAAGACACCCTCTTGCGGCAACCACGGCTGCGCCTTCAGCGACACTGTGCTCCCCTCGCGCGAGGTAATGGATGGCCATTTCACCGGCATCTTCATCATCGTAACCTCAGCTCTGCAGAGGTAAAGTTCTGCCGCCGGCACAACGCTTGCAACCGCGGGGCTGAAGAACAGCGATGCCCGGCTGACCGAGTTCCGGGAAGCTGGAGAGCCGTGGCCTCTCCAAGTGCACAGGAGCTTTGACTTGGACCTTGGCTCCCAGCAAGGGGCCTCTCTCCGAAGGCGTGTACGGTGAAGCCGGAGACTTCGGATCGTCCTCCGGTACTCCTTCACATCTCCACATTTTGCAGCTCGTAAGGAGCTTGGCAGCTGCAAACATGCCATGGAGAGTTACATGAACAGTGCGATCAACAGGCACCAGCTGTCCAGCAAAGCAGGAGCACCGGAATTGACAGTGCACGAAGCTCAAAAAAACGCATCGGTACATGCGCCATCTTAGTCCCAAGCAAGATGCATCTTGACAGAGTCCGCAAGGCTCACAATGTGAAGATTGCGTTGTTGCCAGCTCTCTCTGTGCTGCAGGCACAGGCGCAATGCACGACAACGACGCTCCCGGAAATCCAGCAGGAGATCTGCGATTGCACCATCTCCAAGAACAAGGGCTTCTCTCCTGAGCATAAGGCCATTCCTGCTTCTTATGCCTTTGTTCTGCCTCTTTGCAACCCTTGCATCCTCGCATATTACAGGGAGACGAGATTCAAAATACGTTGCGCCCGCCTCACTCGGGGCCGCTTTGGGGGACGCGCCTCACGCTGTGCCTGGCGAGTCCGTTGCCGGTCCTGTCAAAGGATCAATCGCAATGGGAGTCCCAGGCTTTCTGGGGGGAAATTGGCATGCTCTCAAGCCAGCCTCTGCACCATCACACCAAGAAGATACGCAGGAGTTCAAAGCGCAGCCTTAGCTGCCCAACCAGGCAAAACAGGAGTACAGCTCAGCACTGAATTTTGCATGTCAGGCAGGATCTGTGAAATCTTGCAGGCAGGGCGCAGCAAACAAAGGAGAAGGGAATCATCAACATCAAACATGTTGAAATAACATATGTTCGCTCCACCTCCCGCTCGCAGCTGCCTGTGGCGATGAAGATCCTTGAGTTGCCAGCTGCAATTTCTTCAGCCACCATGCGCTCTAGACTCTAGACTCTTCTGTACCTTTTTGTTGAGCGACAGTAGGCAAATGGAGATCACGGAAAGAACCGCGAGCACCAAAAAAGAGCCGCATAGCATGGGAAACACGGCCCATTCTCCTTACATCCGCACCAGGCTGCCATGTGTGGAAAAGCCACACGATTGCGCATCTTGCATGGAGCAATCGAACCGGTACACATCGTTGGGCAGGCCTAGAATAAAGAATAACACCGATGCCCGGTGTGCGGATAGTTGCCTGTTGCACTCTCCCACACATACCTGAAAGCAGCCCCAGGGCCCGGATAACAAGCTCGAGGAGCGAGCGATCACAAAAGTGATGAGCCACCCCAGGCCAACTAGTGCGAAGACAGTTGGGAAGCCAGCCGCCCATCCAACCTGTTCGACCAAACAGAAGCGAACAGCACCTCTGCACAGTATGTATGGCCAGAATAATGAGCAGGAGGCTCTAAGCAAAAGCAAGCGCCTCTGCACAGGTTACAGTGTCTCCCTCACTGAATGGGTTGGCCCAACTGTAGGGGAAGCTCAGCCAAAGACCTCAGCGAGGCTGCTCAACAAGCTGCAGTTGGATGTCTTGTGCCCTGGCGCTACGTCTATTGCTTCAAGCGCAGGCCCCCCCAAGTTTCACGCCCACAGCCCCCAAGTATTTATCCTCACTGAGTATCAATTTCGGAGGTTCCCATGCAGGAGAGGCTTTGTGTGCATGTTGGTTAGGTACCTAAATTGTGGTCACAATCTGTTGTAAAATCTACAAGACGACACAACTGTAGGACCAGCAAGGCAAAAAACAAAAAGAATGTCCCTGAAATCTAAACATGAGCAATTGTAACAATCTTCACTAACAGTAAGATCAACACTTCTCTCAGGCAAGGGCATGCTCCTAGGGATCCCATCCCAAGCGTGCCGGAGATCAAGCGTGAGCATTGGCCTCAGAGAAAGGTTTGACTCTCCTCTGTCGCTACTTGCAGTGGCCATGTCCAACTGTCAAGTACTGAGTGGGGACAGTATCTACTGTACGGGCTTCATGGTCTTGGGTTGTGGGGCTTAACGAAGATTGGGGCTAAAAGATATAGGGCCATTGGGCGTTGTGGGTCGGCACAAGCGAGACCAGCTAAACGAGCCCGTGCCAGCATCCATCCAATACATAAGCCCAAGTCCAGGCAACATGATTGTTATCTCAAATGCGCGCAGGTGCGCAGGGAAGATCTCCGATATGTGCTGCACTCCTTGTGATTCTAAACGAGCGACGCCCGGCGTGTGAATTGAAAGGTTCTGAATCCAAGCAGACAGAGAAGGAGAGAGAGACTTACAGTCCATCTGGATGGAATCTTGTCACCTCCAATGACTGCCCGGCACATATCTGCATGCTTCTGACCTGCTGCTACACGTGGGGTGTCGTTGCCATTAGCAAAGCCCTTTCTTCTAGGTTTGCCAGCAAAATTTGCAAGTGTTTTTGGCCGGCATCTTTGGTCAGGCCACCCGGACGTGAATACCTGTCAAAGGCATCTGAAAGGGTGGCCTGTGGGCCTGTCCCTGAAAAAGCATCACAGCACAAATTCATGCATGGTTGACCTTGCGGGTCTCTTCAGCTTGATCTCAAATCATATCTTATTTGGAGCTGATCCTGCAGCAAACGTGTGATGGAAGCCGCATGTTGCTTGCTGCTCACTACACTCTATAGGTATATCCTTACCACTCGATCAATACAGGGGTATATCGTTTTCTCACCCCTGACTGGCCCGGCCAGCCAGGCCCCTGTGCCTAGTTGCCCTGCTATGTTATTGCAGGACAACGGTGACGACAACCTCTGTTTTAGTACCGCAGCTGGAAGGCCAGAAAGCTATCGGTGCGCGTACTTTCGAAGCATTCTCCCATCGCTGAGCTGTGGGCGTTCGCAGTTGCAGTGGCACCGACCACATTGTGCACCCATGGCCCACTGGCAATGCACTATACACAAACTGGGTGCAACATAACCAGGTGAATGGCAAACTATGTACAGGGCCAGGATACATTCTAGATCCTTTCATGCACACACGTCACCCTGGTACATGCATTAAAGTTTATCTCTCACTGGTGCTGTCCAACCTGTCCACGTGTACATCATTCATGCGCCCCGTCAGGAGCTAACAAATTTCTGCATACATCTGCTTATTCAGATGCTGAGTTCAGCCCTTACTAAAACTTCCAAGCACTATGCTTGGGAAAACGAGCTGCGATTACATGCAAGTTGCCAAGCAACATGTGCAACATAATTTCCTATAGGGCAGCACTGGAGCACGTAGTCTACAACAAGCACTCTTTTCTCCCAATAAAGGGAAGCAAGCTCTGGGTCACCTCGGCTTTTGACTGGCTTACCAGAAGCGAGGGCCAGATGAGCTGTAGTCTAAACTACTTGAGGCAGTTGCATAGTGGACTGTACGGGGGAGTATGGTAATTGAAAAGGATGCTGGGAGTTCAGACCATAGCTCAGATCAGCTTGAAAAATGGTGTGAGCCAAAGTCGTGCCCAAATATCAGCATCCGGTCTTCTATGGGATTATAGAAGCTAGCCAAAAACCATCTCCATTTGCATAACACACTGCAAGTCGATTGCATCACATGACTGCCGTGGCTCCATGCAGAGTTTGTTCTAGTCCCCTCTTAAGAAAGATTTGAATTCATGTTTTACCAGCTTAGGGGGGAGTTGGGGCTTCTGGGTCTCGTGGGGGTACCAGTGCCGAAGCTGATTTGACTCATGGCCACATGCCTTAAAATACAGAAACTTACAACCGAGCCTTTGCCATCAGCACTCCAGGAGAGCTACTGCAATGATCAGTACAACTTACTTACTGGCTCTTAGTAGGAAATATGGGAATATACATTATATAGGGGTTATAAAGGAACATATTCCCATATTCCCTACTAACAGCCAGTAATGCTGAAGTCTTTGAATTCCTTTGCTCGCTCATCCTGGCCCCCGGAGAGGAGTTGCCCGGTGCTCCTGGCAGTACCTTCACCCACAGTCTTGGGGTTCCGTTCAACTGCCAAAACGTCCCAGGTGTAGGGACCGTCCATAAACAAGACCGCTGGCGACCCCAAGTTTGGAGGAGTTGCGCCCGCGAATTCGCTGTGAATTCTGCTCCTTAAGGAGGTGGCCACAGTCAAACCCAGGCTGGAACAGCCGAAGGCTTGCGTTTGAGCAAGCCATGGTGACACACCCATAATATGCTTTGCATAGAAGATGTACTCAAGTGCTGGCCAAGGCGATGCGCAATCCCCATGCTGGCCAGGATAGCTGTCTCAGAATTGAATGGGAGCTCCCAGAGGACTTGTATAGACTTGGGCTTTAGGGGAGCCGGAGCCCCTGTGAAGGCGGCCCAGGCTCGTGACCTTTGCGCCCCCTTTCACCTGCTGGGCTTTCCGGCAACCACTGCGTCGAAGGCTTCCTGATGCTGGCAGAATGGCTTGCGCACTCATACGCACTCATACTGGGACTTACTATGCATACGTTGTGTGTTGCAGCGCATGCGTTAAGCACGGACTTCCTTTCCGTCATTCCGGGTCAAGCTTGGCAGGGATGCGTATGCCAAAGCGAGCTGTCCGGGTTTCAGACTCACTTGAGGACTAGAAAGATCGCGTAAAGGATAAAGTGCGGTATTGAGGTTTCTGTTGTAGAAGGATGTGAGGGAGGTGTGGCGTGCAACCTTTGCCTGCTTGTGGGCAAGGGTGTTATGCAGGGACCCTCTTCAATGTTTGTACAGTGAAGACCCTCTCGCTTTGGACCGGGCGAATGGCTTGAGCTCTTAACATTTGGCATTGCCCCTCTCTCTAGTACATGCACCACCTGCATGAAGATTACGGCAGGGGCATGGAGGGGCCAGCAGTGAGGCTTTCCAACATGAGCGCCTCTCAAATCCTAGGGACATCCCTCAGGATACTTGCTGACGAAAGGCTTTGAAGCCCTCAGGGCTGTAGAGTTGAAGTGCTTTGTGGAACTCGCGGTAGCGGTATGTTCCGGGAGTCAAGCACTGCACAACCTGGCATGACTGGAAAACTCATCAATGAGTGATTTCTCATGCAAGGTTTGGCCTAAAATTCCGGATTTTCGGAATTGCACGCCTCCTCCAGGATGAGATGGCCATCCTTGTTTTTGTCAATCACCTGGGCGAGAATCCCTCAGTCCAGCTCACTCTCAACTTCCCAACGCTCTGACACAAGGGCGTAGAGCCAACTGAAAAATCCTGAATCTCACGACTTTGGCAGTTGGATCGCTTGGCCAAGGAGCATTGAAAGCTTCCCGGTGTCTTGAGTCAATGTGCGTCTCATACTCTGATATCCTGGGCGCAGTCGCTGCTGCCACCAGGTCTCGCAGGATTTAAATTAGCAACGTGTGGCAACGTGGCGGCAGAAACACTAATGTGGCATCCAAGGCTCTGAGTGCTCACTATTCTGTGCAAGTCAGGCCTGAGCTGATTGCAGGAACGAAGAGTGAGAATGGCTTGTAAGGAGTGCGGGCATGGAGCACAAGCTTCTTGAAGCTCTTCTTGTCCCAATGGCCCTTTTCGAGCCAGGTGCGCTTCGAAATCTGGCAGAGGTCTACAAGTGCTGTGAATGATCCAGAACCACCTGGGGCCATAGAGCTGCTGGCGGCTTGCCTCGATGATGGTATCTGCGTGCTTGGCGAGCATTCGTGCATAGTTCCTGAGGTTGGCTGCGGGTCAAGCGCGGCAAGACTACAGTGGAGCATGTCACTGGCAAGATGGCAAGCGCGGGTCACCTGCTATCGCCCTGACAGGCAAGTGTTGCCAGACTTTCCAGCCAAGAGGCGAGAAGAGGAGAACACCCTCTTCTTCCTGAGCCCAGGCTAATGGGCATAATTGCCACATTGGCCGTGAAGGATGAGCAGGGCGAGTGGCATCATGAAAAATCATTGACACTATCAGTCACTATCGTCGTTGTCGAAGGAATCCGGAGGAATACAGTAGCAGCAGCGGCAGCAGTACCAACGGCAAATGCAGCAGTGGTCATGATAGCTCCTCGTAGGGTACGAAGCGAGCGGTAGTGTAGTTTTTGTTCTCGTCTTTGTCGTAGAGAATGTAAGGGATGGTAGCAACAGAAGCAGCAGCAACAGAAGTAGCACTGGCAGCAGTAGCAGTCGTCGTCGCTGCCGTTATTAGCAGCAGCAGCACCACCAGCAGCAGCAGCAGCAGCAAGGGGCAGCAGCAATGCAGAGCAGATACCTAGATGCACAGAAAGCGGTGCTCTTCTGCAGGTGCGGCTTCTGTGCATTGAGTGGATTCATTGCCTGGCCGTACAGTAGCAGCTGATTCCAGAAGCCAAGTTGCTGTAAGAATACCATTGGAATCCCTGTCGGCTTGGTGGAAGACTTCCCTGATCGCACGGACGGCACGCATAGTCACGAAGGATAGGAATTCTTGAGACTGCTGCTAGATGTGACCAGAAAACGTTTGATCTCACAATCACAGAAATCTCCAAGAGCTGCAGCCCATATGAGCCTTAGTCTAAACTCCTAGTATACCCCTTTATAACCGTCATTAATACTTCCCTATAATAATCCAATATAACTCCTCTATAAAGAGTTTATAGGGTACAGCCCATATAGTCAAGTTGCTTCACTGTCGGCCGCACTCTTCTCTCCAGCTCCTTCCTCAGCTACGCCCAAAAAATCACCCAAAGCCACAAGAACCAGCAATTTTCTACTAACCCTAAGCCCCTTTTGCATCAGGTATCACTGTTGAGGTTTTCTTGGCCGTGTCCCCTAAGAGGCCCTTGAGAAAGAATCAAGCCTCTGAGTGCCTAACTGAGGCTGGTACTGCGAGTGAACACTCTTAATCTGATAGCAGGACCTGGATACAGGTCCACATCCATGCGGGCCTGATGCATGAACGCACTTGCAGAACGACAGCTGAGCTGAACTGTGAGGCTGGAGTACAGCGGCGGCGGCAGAACTTCAAAAAGGCGCGACATCAAGTAAGTGAAGATGGGCTCAAACGGGAGGCAATGCAATGGAAGCTTATCCAACATTTCTTCGCCATGACCTGCCATACCCGATGTAGGGTGGCTGATGCGCTCCTTCCAGCAAGCCTTTTGCGGCTGTAGATTCTGCTTGACGAAAACACATGACCATCCCAATTTAAGTGCTTTGGCTTGCGGACGACTGTGGCGCCTAGATGCTGGCTTTGTTGCTGAAGCAATAGTTGGGTCAGTGCCTTAGCCCTTTCACCTGGCATCCTTCTGAGCGGTCATTAATCACGAGCGTTGGAACCCACAGAAACATCCCTTGTAAGAAATGCTGCGACCGGTGGGTGCTGCCGAGATTCGCCAGCCATTGGTTGGCGGACTCAGCATTCTGTATTCTTGCATCCCCTTTTCCAACCGGCTTGATCTTTTCGGCATACTCTCGCAGAATGGCTCCCAGCTCTTCAAAGTACCTGCAAGCCCGACAGGGGCCGTGGTCATCCACTCTTTGTCTCAGCCATGCTTGCCTGTTGAAGCAAGGTGTCCCACAAAGCCAGCAGCACAGCTCCTCAAATTGAATGTAGCCATCCTGCGACAGGAGCGTTGTCGGTCTGAGTCTTCAAATGTGTTCAGTCAGTGCTGGCGCTAGCCTTTGCCAAAAAATCAGGTGAGAGAGCATAAATTCATAGTCTGGGTTTCCATGGATCACGGATGCCAGTCTCTGCCAATCCTCATCTGTATCGACGGTGCCAAAAAGCATGTCAATCTGCCGGGATGTCATCCTGGCACACTCATGCAGGACTCCCCTCAAACACGGCGGCTGTGTAAGGCAAATACTTCATATTCAGCTTCTGGAGCACCGCTGCGAACCTGAGCTGCAACCGAAGCATGGTGAAGCATGGGGGCTTACCGGGCTGAAGGCCACTTTTGTCCGATTTCTCGAAGCAACTTCTGGCCCTAAGACCGCTTGCAGCTTGCTTCCGAGGGGCTCTTTCTTGCTAATTGTGCCGTTGCCATCCTCAGCACATGATTAAAAATGGCTGCGTAATCAAAGCACAAGGCTTGGAAGGAATGGGCAATGCCTTTCCAAAGCCTAGGTTCTGCGTCGAAAGACTTGAAGGCCATGATCATGGCCTGCTCTGATTGCGCCTTGGTAACTGCTCCTGCAGGGTGCAAGTGCTACTCTGCTCAGCATCACCCTTCCTGCCATGTCCTTGTAGCGCAGAGGAGGCTATCTTTTTCGCAGCCGCTGTGCTTGCGTCATCGTGCCCTGAGGCACCGACGCCCATGGCTACGTAACTCGGAGTCTGGTATTCAAGCGTATGGGAGCATGGCTTGCACATGCGGTAGCTAGACCTTCATAAAAGGCCATGCTGTTGAAGTCGGGCTTTATATGTTTTCCGCCTACGGCTTGTGCCGGACAGCTGGCGGACACGCGCAGGCTGAAAGCCTGTAGAAGATGGCTTTCAAAACAGGAATCTCCGGTGAAGCTTGCACTAAATCTTTTAACGTCTGCAACAGCGCTGTCACAGAGACTAACAGCCCGAAAGTGCTGGGTTCGGGTGCCTTCAGCTTGAAGCTGCGCGCGTCACTGAAATCATCTGAACTGCCAGCTAGTTGCCCCTCATGTTTCAGCTTGTCGAGAGCGCCTGCTTTTTTCCCAGATATTCGCGACATCGAACCGCACCAGCAGCCTTCAGTAATGCACGAGGTTGCAAATCAGCCGTAGGTCTAAGTCAGCGCAGGACCCCTCAGCAGTGATCGCTTTTCCTCCAGGATTTTCCCGACCAAGTTTTCACCAACAAAATTGTTGTCCTGCTGTACAGCGCCCCAGAAGCATCCCCCCGTTGCCTCTATGAAGAAGATTCGTGCATGGCCCGTATTCACCAGCAACGCCGCAAGGGAAGGGTGCTGATCCATTGCCAGGAAAATGCTGTGCCGCATTGCCTTCACTGCCCATCCTAAGTGCCAGTCGTCCCTGATGGCTCTTCGCAACGGCTCCTGCGAGATTTGCGAGATCAAGCCGAGCAAGCTGGCCAAACTGGGCTGCGCAAGACGCACAGCCTCCTGGCAACGGGGGTCGAGAAAGTACTGCGCAATGAAGTGGTGGTATGGCGAAATCCACAGGGATTGCGGGTTTGGATATGCCAGGGGGATGGGGTGCAGCGGCGACAAGGCTTCAAAATGGTGGCCTGCAGCAATGAGTACAGGGTTGGAGTCAAGTTCGCGCAAAGGCCCCCTTGCCATGCCCAGCTTGTCCTGACAGAATGGGCAAATGCCCCAAAGACTGAACTCGACCTCTGAGCTGACGGATGGAAAGCGTTCCAATTCGGCCTTGCATCCACAATTCTGTGAGCACTGGCAGCCAGGAGTAAAGGATGGAACTAGGTGAACTGCGTCCAGCTTTCTGTCTTCCTCGCCAGTCTTCCAGTTGATGTCGCGAAGAGAGGACAAGCTTTCCAGAAGATTTGAAGGATGGGAAGGATGGGGGGTATTCCGGCTATTCTGTGGCTGTGCTGGACCAGCATCTGCTGCAACCTTTGTCTTCGCTTCCAGGAGTTCACGTCTTCTTTGTGCCAAGGGCGACAGGCCACGTGCGATGTCCTCATTGCAAATTACATGCCTCGGGCGTTTCTGCAACCATATTTCCACACGCGAGCATGCTTCTCCCAGTGACCTGCCCAGCTCCAGCATCACGTGATCTCTGGCCAAGGGTGCAGATTTTTTCTCATCCTCCTCTGGCTGTGAGGAGCTTCGCCTTGATCTTAAATCTCTCAGAGCAGGTGCCGTGGGGGAAGCAGGAGGAGAACTGGTATCCACCACCATGTTCAGCAACGTCTCTCCCAGTGCAACTGAAGCTCTTTGAGCAACGCGATCGCCCATAGCAGCAGCCTCTTCCAGAGTGAGGCTGGCCCGCTGAAGCATGCGCCCAATCTCCGCATTTGCCTCACCAACCACTGCGAATCCGGCTGCCACCAATGATCGGCGTGCCCTCTCCAAGGTAGCTGGCCCCAGGATGTCAATGTCGGAGGTCGCAGCCACAGCAGAGGCAGCAGCACTTGCGTTTCTTTGCCTGCTTGCAAGCCTACGGCCTTCCCGTCCTCGGTAGCATGCTTGGATTCGGAGAGCCGCGTTTTCTTCTGAAAGGCTTGGTGTGGCCTCTGCAAACATGCCAAAGAAAGTCCCATCATCTCCAGCTTTGCTTTCAGTAGCCAGTCTGTCGTGAAGGTTGTGCACCCAAACTCGTAGGTGACTTATACTGGCAATGTCCAGTCTCTTCTGCGTTTGTTTGGCAAGTTCCCTCCGTGCCATCCTACCTCGCTGCACCGCCTGAATCTTCCGCGCAGCGTTTTCCTCCTCTGGCCGGGTCTCCTGAGAGGGGGCGGCTGGAACGCCTGGCTCAAAGAACTCCCTGGGACTTGGCGAGCGGCTGCGCGAGCTACCTCCTGTCTGATGAAGTTTGTGAATGCGAACCGCCCTTAGGCGCAGCCCTGCAGCATCCAAGACCCCCAGCTTTGTCTTTTTCGCCCTGAACCGCTGCTGGGCCTGTCGCATTCGAACGGCTGCTTGCAGCATAACTGCAGCTCTCCAAGTTCTCCGCTGCCTCAACACTCCAAGTTGTTGATTGGCCAGCCAGCGGCGACAAGAAGCTTGGATCTTCCGAACGGCATCTGCTCCTGTATCCCCAGTGCCAGAAACCAGGAAGGATTGAGTCTCGGCATCACTCCTCAACGCGGAAGCAACCTGACTATGCAGCTTGTGGACCTTCACACGCAGCTGTGAGGTTGTTGCAATTCCTGGACCTTCCACCTTGTTGGCTCCTTTTCTGCGCCGGACTCGCCTCCCTCTGTACGCAGCTTGGATCCTGACAATGGCTCGCAGTACCTGCGTTTGTTCCTGTGGAGATTCTGGAGACTCCAAAACTTCCAAAGATGCAGAGGGACCGGGGGCACTTCGCTTGCGACGGTACATGCCTTGAATGCGGAGTGCGGCTGTGACAGCTGTCGATGTGGGCTTCGTCTTCATCTGTGGAGCTCTTGGCTTGCGAGGTGCCTCTGCGGCAGCTGCAGCTTTTGTGAAGTCCCTCTCGCGCACCCGCTTTGCCAAGCCTTGCCGGAGCTTCTGCCCACGGAGGCGTGCTGCACTGACCGCCTCCAGCGTAAGATTACTTGGCTCTGAGACGCTCCCTTGGCTGACTGGGCTGGTGGGCTCCAGCACGGAGATCTGACTTATATGCTGTCGGCGGGCACGCTGGCCGCGATAAGCAGCCTGGATTGTTGTGGCAGCCTTCTCTCGCACAGCTGGCTCCATCAACGCTTGCTCGTTGGAAACCTTCAGGGGATGCAAAAACAGGAAGGCACCGTGCCGTCTTGTTGAAAGAACCCGCAAGCGCAAAATGGTTGAGTTCCTGCTACCTACCTAGACCCTCCAATCACCTTGTATTGGGTCCTAAGTACCTACGCTTTGGGGCCTTAACCCCAATAGAATTGACGGGTGAGCAGATGCCCAAGGCTGCTAACTCTGCCTTGCAGGGTTACTGTTGCAAGCCTGAAGTTGGACACCTCTTTCAAAAGCCAGCAGAGAGTTGTACTTCTTGACTCAAAAGGGTTAATCTGCCTGCCTACCTCCTTCCCTTACCCTTCCTTCTTCCTACCGCTCCCAAACTCCCTCGCTACCTCCCTCAATCACCCAGCCAGCTTTGTCCCGATGCAACATCCTTAGGGCTGTATTACAGCCTTTCTGAATCTTGATCTAGACTGCTCCATCTTCTGGCATCAGTTCAATGTATCGGCGGCTGCAGGCCTGCTGAAGTGAGGTCGGGATCGTCTTCGAAATTGACGACCCTGTAGATCGTCCGCCTCTTAACCTGCCAAAGTGAAGTGTTCAATCCTTACTTTCTGGACATTTTGCATGCCTGGCCTCTCCTTCGTTTTTGACTGATCAAGCACAGTCTCGCTGAGCACGCGCACCGGCACGTGCACACTGTTAGAGCCATCGCCATCTCTGGTTGCTGACAAGTCGTGCACTTGTTTTCCAGGGACTCCCTGGTACAACGGGTCGGAGGAAGCAAACTCAGCAAAATCGGCAAACCCGGTCAGAGAGGCAGCTGGCGTAGCTTGTGCATACGGAGCTTGGGCTGGACTCTGGGGCCCTGAAGCTGACGGCCCTCCAGCTGTCATGCCACCTTGCGTCAATTCTGACACGTTCTGCTTCATGGCAATCTTGCTGGCATCCTCTGTACCAAGGACTGCAGAACTTGGATAGCCCTCTTTGGCCTTTTCTGGTGTGCTTGTGGACGGCCCGTAGCGTCCACCATTCCCAAGCTGCTCGGAATCCTGAGCATCTTGGGCTGTGAAACCAGGTGCAATGGTAGCTGGGGCTTGCTGCTCGCTCAATTGTTCTGCAGATGGAATACTGACTCTTTGAGAGCGCGAGGTTTCCGGGGCGGCTCGTCCAAAGCCTGACGCAGGTGGAGGAACCGTCGCATTTTCTGCGTTTGCTGCCTGCACATCCGCCTCAGCCCCTGTGGGTTCGGGAAACCCTGTGACATCCACCATGTCTTTCTTCAGCGGCAGTGGCACAGAACCTGCTGGAGTCTCCTTTGAAGCTCCCCTGCTCGCTACACCGGCTTCTGCTGTACCAGGCCTTGTAAAATCGCGGATGTCTTGATTCACCTGTCGCGATGAAGGTGCTGCTGGACTTTCTGCTGGGGCTCCTCCTATTGCGTCACCAGGTTCTGCTTTGTCAGGCCCAGTGAAGTCAAGCCCGTCCTGTTTCGCGGATCGCATTGAACGCCGCGAGGGATCTGGCGTAGCCAATGCTGGCGATGCTAAAGTCTCTGTTGAAGCTTGCCTAATTACCGTACCGGCTTCTGCTTTGCCAGGCTCTGTGGAATGGAGATGGTCTTGCTTCTCGGATGAGGGCGAAGGTGGCGTGAAGACTGCAGCAGTTGATGCTGACCCCGCTTGAACTTCAGTTGTTGCTGCTGTACTGGGCGCTCCTCCAAAGAACTCCTTTGTGGATGGATCAGTCGAGCCCCCTTTCTGCACTCGCTCTTTGGGAGGAGTCTTGCTCTTTGATGGCTTAGGCAGCTTGAGACCACTGCCCCCTTGTTCTCCATCTGCCATTCCTGCTTTTGAAGCACCAGGCCCAGTGAATTCCAAGAAGTCTTGCTTCTCAGATCGCGGTGAAGGTGGCGTGGAGACTGCAGCGGCTGATGCTGAT